GTGTGAGCCTCTCCTGCCTCCTCAGCAGCGCTAAGGAGGTCTGACTGCAGTTTAGGTCCTCTCCCCGCTGGCAAGTGGACATCTCCCGAGGGCTGCCGGGTTGCCAGAAGGATGTCTGATTGCCATCTTAGGCCCAATCCCCCGGGGAGGGGGCCTAAGCCAGCAGGTGGTCATCCCCTGAGGGGTCCCAGACTGCGAGAGGGCACAGGCCGGGCTGAGGGACCCCGCCCCCCCGAGTGCACAAATTTTTGTACACCGGGCCTCTAGTATATATATAAAAGCCAAGCAACCAGAATGACCAGAACAACTAGTCACTATGACGTGCACTGTGGATAGCCAACTGGCCCAATCGGGGGCCGGACTGACTGGCCAACCTCCTACAGCCCCTCCCCCGAGCCAGCCTGGCCCTGATGGCCCCAATCAGGGCTGGCTGGCTGGCAGGAGTCCTTACCCGTGCATGAATTCGTGCAACGGGCCTCTAGTGTGTGTGTGTGTGTGTGTGTGTGTGTGTGTGTGTGTATAAAATTTATCTATCCAGACATTTGCGTTGTCTCCACCTTGGGGCTCTTGTGACTAAAGCTGCTATGAGCATTGGTGTACAAGTGCCTATTCAATGCTTGCACTTCCCCTGGGTGTCTTCCCAGAGAGGAATTGCTGTAGGTGATTCTGCTTCTATCTGAGGCCTCTCCTGCCCTGTTTTTTCTGGCGGCGGCACTATTTTACACCCCACCTCCCACCCCCCAGCAATACACCAGGGACCAGTTCCTCCCCAGCTAATGCTTTTTTGTGATTTGCATAACTGCATCCCAATCTCTCTGAAGTGGTATCTCCTGGTGTTTTGATTTGCGTTTCCCTACTGAATAGTGATGCTGAGAAACTTTCCATGTGTACAATTTAATTTTCAAAAATCTTTCAATGCTTATCACTGTGGAAAGATTTATCACTGTAAAATGTGTGTGGTAGGAAGGTAGACATCTTACTTAGTTGTTTCCTGCTGTGTAATAACACTTTTTTTTTTAGGGAGGCAGCTTCTAACAACGAAACCATGGCAACCATTCTTCTTCAAAACTTGCTAATACAACTGGATGACCAGTTAGGTCGAGTTTCCAAAGAGAAAAACCTGCTCTTGATTCACAATCTGAAAAGAATTCGGAAAGTCCTGCAGGTGAGAATGCATTCTACTTTTTCCAAATGTTCAGCTTTTTAAGGCTTCGATTCAGTTTACAGAAATCAAATATGTACCCATATGTTATTTTCAAACCATATTTAAAAAGATAAATTCTTGAATTCTCTTGCCATTTTGAATTTCGTGCTCAATTTTTTGTTTGTTTTCCATGAAATTTTGAACCTGAGATGCATTATCTGTGGGGAGAGTGAGTGTGATGTACATGGGACTGTTTGGAGGTTATGGTCAATCCTGATGACGCTGGAGCAGGGGTTGGAAAGATGTGGCCCCCTCTCCCCCTGCCTCCCCCCATCCTCCCTTGCCTTTGTCTCTTACATAATCTCAAGTTAGTGTTGTTCCCTTCATAGGTGCAGGCCTTGTGTTGTGTGTTTTCCAGGTTTGGTTCAGATCTCACCTCCTTCACAAACATTCTTTGCTGCACTCCAGCCCCTATCCCACAGGGATAGGCAAAGCGCACGCTGCTCCTGAGGCGCCCGACCTCCCTGTACCATGTCACCTAGTGTGTGTGGGCGGGGGAGAGAAGGGGACATTAGCATGTCTTCGCCCTCACACCGTGAGGTCCCTGAGGCCGCCTTCAGCATTCAGCCTGAATTCCCTGCACCCGCTCCAGGTGGGATGCATAGTAGAGGTGTAACCCTTGTTGGTTGAAGGGCGAGCGGGTGAATGAGTGGATGGGGCCCTGAGTGTTGAAGGACAGGCGGCCTGAGCTGACCCCGGGAGCGAGCAGGGCCTGCTGGGAGCCTGGGCTGCCGTCGTGTTTACCGGGCGCCTGTAGAGCATGTGCCATGTCTCAGGGAGGCGCTCTTGAGGCCCATGCTTCCGCCCAGTATATTCTCAGAGAATGTTAGCCACACGATAAAGGACACGTGCCGGAAGCTATACCATTTGTGAGGGGGACACGGGTATTGTTTTTTCTGATTGGCGTTTGGGCGGCCCTGAGCCACCTCGGCCCCATAGTGCCTTACAGGTGGACAAGAGCCATTGGCCGGGGCTGGACAAGAGCTTGTGGGCAACACAGCAGGGTCTTGGGAGCATCAGGCAGGCCCTCTTCATGGAGATGAGACCCTACCTTAGCCTCAGCCCCACCAGCTCAGGGCTCTCCTGCGCCCACTGGAGCCGGCGGGCACGCCGCTGCCTACAGGCAGATGTGGCCGCTGCATTTCTGTGTACAGCCCATGACTGAGCATCGTATGCACATTTTTAAGTGACTGAAACAATAAAAATAAGGAAACAAATAAAATGCATTTGTGATGTGAAAGTGACGTGAAATGAACAGGTCTGCATTTTAGTGGAAAGTGGCCACTCTCCTCCACCTTGGCTGTGGCTGCTTCGCCCGGCCCCGCTCAGGTGAGCGGCCACTGTGACTGAGGGCCCCAAAGCCTAAAATAGACGTGTGTGTGTGTGTGTGTGTGTGTGTGTGTGTGTGTGTGGAACTGATCTTGCCCTTCATGGGAAAGTTTGCTGACTTCTGGCCTAGAAGCGAAGACCCTACACTTTGCTGAGGGGCAAAGATGATGAAATGGCAGTGCGTGGCCTCTGAGGATTCTGGGTCTCAAAATATGACCGTGGACAGATCACGTAATCTTTCTGAATTCTCATGTCTATCATATAAATGAGATTAATTGTTACCTACCTTTTGAAATTGAAAGGAAGACTGGGGCTTTGATTCTGGAAAAATACTGGCCCCCAATAAATGTTTCTTGCTGATAGGGGCCTTCTTAGTATATCAGGGGCAAATGGATAGCCCATCGGTTTTTCTGGGTGGGTCTCAGATTACAAGGAAGCTTGAGACCCTGAAACTCCCAGTCCCATCCCAGCTCCTCCCACTCCCATCCCAACCCCTCCCACGCACATTTCAGCTGAAGCACAAATTCTTCTGTTTACGTCACTGGTCCTTTTGCATTTTGCCTCTGTAGACCTTTCCCAACATCCCTGCCCCAGAAAAATGCTCTACTCCTTGTTCCCAAACACCCCACGCTCACTCTCGAATGATCTGAGCTCTTGTCCACGACGGTCCCCTGACCGGGGGTGCTCTGCCATCCCCCCCCCCCTCCAGTCCCATCCATCCCGAGAGGAGCCTGGAGGTCCTGATGGAGCAGGAGGCTCTATTCTCAGCCTCCACGGGCGCGGGCTGCAGGTAACCAGCATCTCCTCTGGCCGGCCGCGTCTAAGCAGGTCACCTCCTGACCTCCTTCTGTGACTCTCCCCTCCCTCTGTGGTTCCCACTGTGGTTCCGCTACAAGCTGGGAACCCGAAAGTCGTTTGGTTCGTTAAGGCCTTTTGAATTGACAGAAACACTTGCTCTTTCTTTCTGGTGCTTCTGCCTGTTTCATCTTAGAAGCTCTTGTTCCTGGACATTTGTATTAATTCAGAACACGGTGGAAATAGTAGTAAAGAACATCGTCAACCAGGTCTTCCACCTCAACACACCTTCTTTTTAACGTGGCATGTTCCCAGGGGTGCTGTTTGTTCTTCTGTTTTGGTTTTGGATAAGCCAAGTCTTTGGGAGAAAACACAGTGCACCCCAAAAGGAGAAAAAAAAACACCAAAAGGTCACTGACACCGTGTTTATCTGGTCTAAGTATTGTCATCCTCTGGGATTTTAAATACAATCTATTTTAACTATTATAGCAAAAAAAAAAAAGCAACAATATGGAACCAGGAGAACTAAGCAGGTATAAGGTAGATTTATTTTCATTTTTTAGAGGAACTGAAGTCTCCAATTTCAATTTTAACTTTTCTATTGGATATCACACCTACTTCCAGTAAGATTTTAGAATGGCTTCTCATAAAAGACAAATTAAACCAAATCACTGACGCAGGAGTCGAGGCAAGCCCTGAGCTGGGGAGCTGGGAGCAGTGATGTCCAGCTGGCTCAGCCCCTTCCAGGGAGGGCCGCCTCAGTCAAGGTCAGGAGCAAGGACTTCCTGCTGCATCCTGGCTGTGACTTCCTCCCTGTGTGTCCCAGGGCAGGGCGTTTGCACTCTCCGGCCTGAGGCGTGTGGTAGGGCTGTGTGAGGGTTTACTAAACACAAGGACCTGCCCCAGGTATTGCAAGAGCGCTTGGTCCCGCTCTCGGACCTTTTTTAAAAAAGAAATACACACACACACACACACACACACACACACACAGTAGACTTTATCTTTTAGAGCAGTTTTAGTTTTATAGAAAGACGGAGCAGAAAGTTCTCCGTGCTCCCACTCCATCCCCGTCCTCAGCTCTGCAGCTCTCATGGCTGCCGGGTTGCATTGGTGTACTGCGTGTTACGGTTATGAACCTACTGGGATATGTGACCGTATCCCCAGGTTCACTGCCTGTGGTTTCCGTTACCTGCAGCCAACCGAAAAGATTACATGGAAAATCCCAGAAATAATCCCCAAGTTTTAAATGGCACACCTGCCATTCTCAGTGCTGAAACCTCGCAGGTCCTACTCTACCTGCTGCAGATGTAGGCTCCCCCCACCCCCTTTGCCCGGCGTCCCCATGCTGAGTGCTGCCCGCGCTGCGCACTAGTCTCTTAACTGGCTCGGTTATGTCGGGTCGCGGGGCTGGGTCCTGTAGGCGTTATTTACTTGGCCGTGGCCCACGCCCGGGAGCAGGGATGACGGCAACTTGCATTTGCCCAAGAGAAGCCGTCAGTGCTTCCTGTGAGTGGACGGTGAGGCCAGCAATCGGTTACGCTGTGTGGACGAGAGATCATCTTCACAGGACTTTTACCACAGTATATTGTTATCATGGTTCTATTTCATTATTAGTCATTGCTGTTCATCTCTTACTGTGCATAATGTGTAAGTTAAACTTTATCATAGGGCTGTACGTAAAGAAAAAAACATTGTAGAAACGTCGTCGATGCACTCTGGTTTGACTTGGGATTTTTTGACTTAGGGTATGCATTCAGTAGACATTGTACTTCGAAGTTTGAATGTTGATCTTTTCCTGGGCAAGCGATAGGCACTACAATCCTCTCTGTGACGCTGGTCATGAGCCACAGCTCCCATCAGCCACACGATGGGGTAAACACGGGTAGTCTACAGCGTAGTCATTGTGTTAGATGGTGTTGCCCAACTGTAGGCCAGTGTAAGGTTCCGAGCACATTTAAGGCAGGCTAGACTAAGTTCTGAGTTTTAGGAGGTTGGATATATTAAAGGCATTTGGATTTATGATAGTTTCCATCTTACAGTTGTGTATGCAGGTTTCAGTCCTATCTGTGATTTCAGGCATCCCCAGGGGTCTTGGAACACACCCATTACAGATAAGTGGGGAATACTTATTATAATTTGTTTATCCATTTTTGGCAATTGTGAATAAAGCTGACATTAACATTTATGTACAGATTTTTGTATGGGCATGAGTTTATCACCCATTCGCAAGTTACCAAACCTCACATACCAGTAATATATATTTGTATTGATTTCAGAAAAAAAGGGAGAGGAAAAGAGAGATAGAAACATCAATGATGAGAGAGAATCACTGATTGGCTGCCTCCTGCACGCCCCCCACTGGGGATTGAGCCCACAACCTGCGCATGTGCCCTGACCGGGAATCAAACTGTGACCTCCTGGTTCATAGGTCAATGCTCAACCCTGAGCTACACGGGCCGGGGCCATATCACACTTTTTTAAAAAGCTAGCTGCTTTTTGTACTTACCAGATCTTCATAACTTACCAATCTCTGTCAAGATTTATTTTGGGGGGAAATGAGTATCTCATTGTGAGAGAGTGAGAAATGAGAGATGGCTTGATGGTTTTAGTTTGGATTATTACATGGATATTAGGTCTGGAGAGGGAGGTGGGATCACAAAGTGAGTCTGATAGATTCTAAGTGGAGTGCAGTCGGAAGGTGATGGGAAGTTACTGGAACTGGTAGGCTTATATACTTGCCTGTCTCCTCCGCAAGACTGTGGGCTCCTTGGGTGCATTCATCTCTGCCTTCCCAGCATCCACCAGGGGCTCAGTGTTTCATAAATGAAGAGTTGAGC